AATTCGATCTCTGGTGCTCAAAGACAAAAAACAAATAAACAAAAGAAAAAAGAAATCATGGTAAATCATTTTACCTCCTTTTCCTTCTGACGCTCCAGTGTGGCAAAATGACAAAACAGCAACAACTTCGAAGGTTGCAAATGAAAACCAAGTGCAAGTGCAACACACGCCAGTTACATTGTAAACGCACAATGACAGCAGCTACAAGCGAAGAATTTGGGAAGAATATGTTTTTCCCAAGGAGCCAAAGATGTGAATCTTTTTTAAAAAATGATTTAAACATTGCTTCTGGTTGAGACTGAATACAGCTTAATTCTTGTCTGTTTAATTTAAAAATGGTGTGAATAAATGAAAGGTCAAGTTTGTTTTTCCAAAAGTTAACTTCACAAATTTTGAAAGCTGTATTTTTTTTCCATGTAGAGGCATCGATAAGCTTGCAGAAAAACTTCACCTTCCATAAAACTACGGCACACTAGATAATCCAAAAAGCAAGGGCCTATTACAAGAAAGAAATATTCTCAGGTGAGCCTCATGGAAAGCTCATCAAATCCCTTTTTCTTCCTTACAGTACCAGCACCTGGGGCCCACCTAGCAACCAAATTACAATGCACGGGAATGCTGGAGCCCACATCTGGGCTCTGCCCCTGAATGTTTTTATTCATGTGGGAAAAGTGGGCCCATTCCCAACATCACCCAGACAGTAACCACTTACCCGAGCTCTGTCTTGGACAACATGGGGGTGAGAGGACAACCCTGAATCTTTCTCACTGAGATGAGCTACCTGACCCCCAGTGACAGCTGCTCTGGGCTCTCAGTCGGTCACCAGAGGCCTCTCCTACTCACTGCAGCCACTAGGATCAAAAGTCCCCGCACACACACACACACACACACACACACACACACACATATGCGTCCTTTCCTAGGCTTAAAGCACGCACGAGCCTGCTGGTCCCACTCTTCCACAACACACCAAATCTACCCCACAGCTGTAGTTATTTGGATGGTACTGGGACAGGAGGTAAAAATTTAATTCGTGTGTGCTTGCTGTCTGGAATACACACGACAGGCAGTGCTCCCTAGGAATTGTGCTAAGCCCTAATTTTAATCCAATGCATACAGAAACATGAAATGCCTTCAGCCTCCCTTCGCAGCACCCTGACCATGCCTGTCACAACTTCTCCTGTTAAGTAGTAATGATTTATTTTGTTTTTAAAAAATCTTTTAAAATGAGAGAGTTTGAATGTTTTGCCATGGGTGCTTATTACTTTTGAAACCAGAAATAATTCTCTATTTTTATGAAAGGGTAAAAATATTTTGTCTCCAGGGTAAAGAGAAAACAATGGACATAATAACGTGGTGATTGATGCTGAGAAACACAAATAAGTCCCCTTTTATCTCAGTAACAAACTCGCCCAGTAGGGTATAACAGAAAGTAATGCTTGCGAGGGTATAATTTATATTACAGTGAGCTCTTTCCTCATGTTGAGCAAAGCACTATAAAGTAAGGTTCTTTTTTTTTTTTTAAGTGGTTTCAAACAGCTTGAAAAACAAACCAAAAAATGCTGTCGTCCAAAGCCAGAACAGAGTTTTGTATGGTTTGCAGATAATTTGATATTTGAAAAGCCTTTTCAATGTTCTCCAGCTCCAACCAAAACTAAAGCAATACTTAGGGAAAAATATACACAAGTAAGCAAATAAAACCTAATATTTACACAATTATTCACAGATCAAACAATTTGGAGACAATAAAGCAGAGCAACCTTTCAGCTAGTTCACATCAAAATAATGGGGGGAACAAACCACTCACTATTTGTTCGGAGTTCTCATATCCATGAACCTAACAATGCACGTTCTGGCTAATTTTATTGTTAATATATTTGGGATGATTGCTTTATCCGGTGAAGGATTTACAATTGGCACTGTGTGGATGAATGATTCAGGGCATCACAAATACAGTGTGACCAGCCTCCTTCATCTATTGCCTCCTTCTCCCACAAATACAAACATAATTTCATGTCCAGCTTTTGATCCTTGGAAAGGGTTGGAAAATGCCACGATGTAGCAGGAGACAGTGCATCGCTGGGCTTTTTTCCATCCTCTTCTCTTAACCAGTGGCGCTTTAGTTTGGAGAACTGCCACTCCCACCCGCCAACTCTAACCTTAAACCTGCTGCCAGTCACAGCTCTGTCCAAACAGGCTGACTCCTGCCTGGCCTAAACCCCTGGGGCGGCATTTGTACAGCACTGGAGTCTTTACCAATTAGAGATCTCTCAGGGAAACACTCCTCACTCAGTCTTCTCAGGGGCACAACAGAGAGAACCCAAGAGAATCACAGGCTAATGAGTCCCTGACCCAGACACTGTGGGTCCCTATGCTGCAATTCTCACCTTCCTGCCACCGCCTTCTAACCTGGTGTTGTTCAGCTGCATGCCCTGCCTCAGGCTAGAGGATTACAGACGTCAGTCCCACCCAAGGTGCTCAGCCCTGTCTGCACAGGCAACTCAACCAGGAAGCTGCCAGCACATCCCACACAGCGGGACTCCCCAGCCCAAGTTTTAAATTTTAAAAAAATTATATTTTATTATAAATAAAGAGCATGCTTTATTAACAGTAAAATACATGTTGTGGTTTGGAAGGGGATCAGACTATGACAGCATTCTGGCTGACTTGCTGTGAGAAGGTGGGGTCAGGTCAGAAGAAGCTGGCACCGTGGCCGTGACCCGGGAGGGTTCATTGCCCTTTGCCATGCCTCCCCTCACTCGGCTTCCTGGCGGCCATGAGGTGAGCAGCTTCCCTCCGCCCAAGCCCTTCCCTCATCTCCCACCATACAAGGACTGACATTTCTATAACTGGAGCCAAGTAAACTTCTCCTCCTTCAAGTTGTGGGTGTTTGGTCTTACACTCCAGTGACAAGAAAGTGAGCAAGACAATATACATGGCATAAAACTGACCACCTTAACCATTTTGTAGTTTGCAGTACTGCGGTGGGCTCTGGGAGGAAGCACCACAGTCTGATATCTACCATTCTGCTAACTCCCCCTGCTTTTTTATAGTATTAGGGACTGAACCCAGGGCTTTTGTACTGAGCCGCATCCCCAGCTGTTTTTCATTTTTATTTTTTATTTTGAGACAGAAACAATCTGCTAAGTTGTCCAGGCTGGGGTTTAACTTACTATTCTGCCTCAGTTTACAAAGTGCTGGGATTAAATACCACCTGTTAATGTAACTATAGAATCATATAAGATTTGCTCATTTCTGTTAACACATCTTTGATGGCTATCCACGTTGTGACACGTATCATAATTTTCTTTCTTTTAGGGCTGCATTATATTCCACTACACACACATATCACATTGTGTCTATCTACTCATCTGTTGATGAACACTTGCATTGCTTTTAGTTTTGGGGTAAGGTGAATAATGCTGCTATGAACATGGATATACAAAATCTCCCAATATTTTTAAAAGCTTCCAATGGGATCAAAAATCCAGCCAGGGCCGAGAGCACTACGCCTGGCAATTCCTGGAGCCTGCAAGGGATGTGGGAAAGAGACATGTTACCCTTACTTGGCTCAGCCAAGCTGTTCCACTATGATTATGGCATTCACTGTATGGGTTATCAGCAGCATATACCTCTACCTCCCCCCATAGATGCGGAGACCCAGGAGGGTGGAGCAGGTTAGTCTTCTTTGATGTAGGGGAAATATTGATTATGCCCGAGGTGTGTAAGCAGTGCTGTCTGTAAAGAGTCAACCCCACAATTGGCTTGTTTTGAGAAGCGAATCTGGAGAAAGCCTATGTGCCAAGGTCAAAGTCACTCGCACCCAAAATTCCATGCTCATATTCAAACCCTAACTAGAATGGCAAGGTTGTAACTATACTCCCATGTTTTGTCTACTCTGTTCCTAATTCAAGAATGCTTGTCTTGTCCTTTACAAGCTTTGCTTGCACTGGTATCCATAGCAACTGCATGACTGAACTTCCCTTCACTGCAATCTGATTACCCATGAAAATCAGTGGCATGGACTGACCAGCACCTTTGCTGTTTGTAGCAGCATTGGTCGTCCTGTATCCCCAGTTTCTCTGTTTCTTTAGTTCTGTGTTTTAGGGTTTTTTTTTTCTCAGTTTTGTACCATAGTACTGAGCAGGAGATCAGAGCGTGCTGCAGAGGTCTCTGATGCTTTGGCATCTCCAAGATCTGGTGCTAAACCTAGCGCTACAGGAGTTGACAAGTTGTTGAACAAAGAGGACCACGAATCTAGAATTTACCTCCCATTCACTGTTAAAACCAACCATTCCCTCCTGCTACTAGAAATTATGTACCAAGGTGTCCTGGGCCATGATCTGGGGCTGTAGCCTGACTCACACTGGGGCCTAAACATAAGGTAGGATCCAAAATCCTGAAAACCATGAGTGTGAAAGAAGCCTCTGTCCCTGACAGTGGAATGGGATGGGGTGGGGGTGGGAGGAAGAGTTGCTGTGTGCCAATTTCTTCTGGGACAGATGCTCTAATCTGTCTATACCCCACTGTAGTGGTGCAGGCCCATCATCTGCGCTCAGGGAAGCTGAGACAGGAGGATCATCACCTCCAGCCCAGTTGGTACAATTTAGTGACATAGTGAGACCGTGCCTAAATAAATAAATAGGAGTTGAGGATGTAGTTCAGTGAGAAGGTGTGGGAGAAGTTCAAGCCTGGCTGGGCCAGGTGCGCTGCACTCCTGTCTCCTGAGCTAACTCAAAGGCGTTGCTAAGGCTGAGCTAACTCGCCTAAGTGCGTACATGCTGGGTCCAACATGCTACACCTCCTCCCGTAGTTGTGACTCCTTCACCTTGTCCAAGAAAAATCACTCCACTGTGCCTCCAATAAGATATCACCAAATGTTAAATGCTCCTCCCATGCTCCTCCCCCACGGTTCCCTATACAAGCTTGTGCATTTCCTGAATAAAGCGGAAGCTTTCCAGAAACCTCCCGGGAGTCTGCCTGGTGATTCGGCACCTTACCCTCCCAGTCCGAGCTCCTGAACCTTGTTCCATGAGCAGGCTCTCGCAGGACAACAAGAAGGTCCCGGGTTCATTTCCCAATAGCAAACAAAAACAAAACAGAAAAAGAGAGAGAAAGGTTGTAATGATTCCTTGCATCCAGACAAGAGACTTTACTTTCCACAAATATATGCTTCTCAATCTCCATAACCCACTTTAAAAAGAAAAAGAAAAATGTAGCCATTTTTTTAATTGAGATGGATTTTGCGTGCTCTTTTATTCACTTCTGTAGCTTCAAATTCTTGTGTTTACTTTGGTTTTAACTTTACCTGGGCGTCCAAGATCATTTTTATGAAAAAGTATAAAAATTATAAAGTAACGCCAGATAAAAGACACGTCAAATCACTCAAGAAAGTTCTACCAAATTCCACATTGAAGTCTGCAGATGTACTTGGAGAGAATTTGTAATGTGGTACAGTGAGTAGCAAATGCCCTCCTCACCAGGGGATGGAATAGGCACAGCAAGGACACACCTTGGCGTGTAGAATAGCAAAACCCACTCTTTTTTCTCCTTTCCTATTTCCAAGATCCGGGATCCCATTTTACCCAAATAGTACCCAAGTTGGGCCCTGGATTATGTGAGTTAGGCTATGAAAATTCACGGTCAGATCTTGCCTTATTTTGTTCAACATGAAATTTTTTGGAATTTTGATTTTTTAAAAAAAATGTATTACTTTGTATTCTAATGGTCAAAAGAAATATGGTATGTGTATACAATGGAGTACTACTCAACCACGAAGAAGGAAAAATTGGGTGAATAAGAAAACCGATGCATTTTGAGACCGTACTAGTAAGTGAGATAAATCAGACACACAAGCTTAAATATTGCATGGTTTTTCTTTTATAAGAAACCCAGAAGATAAATAATTTAAAGAGCATAATAAGAGACAGATGATAGGAAACAGGGAGGTTGACTGTGATGAGATGGGAAGGGATCTGGAGGTGAAGAGAGACAGGAGGGCAGAGGAGAAGGGAAAGTAAAAATGATTAAGATGTGAATGTATATGTATGAATTCCCCAAGAGGAATGCAGTTATTGTGTATCACACATGCTAACAAAAATAGGAAAAGTTGTATTGAAATTATTGACCTCAATTACTGAGTTCTGGGCATTCATTAGGTTTAGTGCCTTTTCTGTGTCTCCCGAGGCCTCTCCTGCTGCAGTTGTGGTCTGCAGGGTCCTTGACTCTACTCGCGGTAACCGCCCTCTACCTTTCCACAATCACCCACACCCACAGTTGGCACCCTGGTGAGAGCGACACGAGCAGGTCCCGGGGGGATGGCCTCCCCAGAGCTCCTTGGCTGGTGTGAATCTTGGAGCTCCCCAGTAAAATGAACTCAGTGCCCCGGGGCCCGTTTCTTTCTTGTGTGAAGACGGTGAGGGCCCCTGTGAGGAACCGAGATGGGCCTTATACTTCAGGGCTTGTCTGCACCTGGGTAATGAACGGGACATTTGTGTTTTCAAGGAATTTTAACCGTGCCCACTTTAACAGCCCCGGAAAAAAACTCCTAAGATAGTAAAAGAACGGGTGAAGGACCTTTAAACAGAGATATGTCTCCCTGTTCCCTCCACCACCTCCAGACAAAAACAGCACTGAGAGAAGGGGCTCCACGTGCCTGAGCTCCCCCGAGCAGCGGAGCTTGGCCTGCAAAGACGTAGAGATCTCCGCCCCCGCCGGCCTTCCTGAGGACCGTAGTGAGGACTTCTTCCCGTCACTCACACCCTCGACGCTGAGTGTCCTGAGTTGCTTGCCTCCACGGTTAGCCGACACAGAAAGAAATTACCTGGATCCCCTCTGTCATTCCAGCCATCGGCAAAGTCTTCAGGATCTACTTAGCGCTACCTCCTTGATGGTTTCTTCACCATGCGTTACTGTTGCACCCTGATGCAATCGCTTCACTCCCTGACCGGGGGTGTGTGTGTGGTGGGGGATATAGTTACACGTGCAAATGACTTCACAAATTAGGAATATGAGGAAGTATGAGCACTCAATCGCCACCACCCCCGCCCCGCCCGCACAGCCTTACCAGGACCGTGTGCATCCCGGTGTAGAGCCTGCTGAGACACACCATGGTAGAAAACGCCACAGCCATCACCAGTCCCAAAACAAAAGGGTACTGCGGGGAGAAGAGACAACAAGGAAATCAGATCACGCGCTGACACATACGATGGGGCCCGGAGGTGGGAAAAGGATTTATTACACTCTCATTCCTAGTCTGCATCTTACAATCTACTATCTGAAGACATTTTTAAACTTAATTGGTACATTTCATGTATATAATATAATGACACTCGGGGGAAATTTGTACCTTTACATAATCCATCTTGGTTCTTCTTATTTTTTCCCCATTCCCCTGCCCTCCCTTCAACCCTTCCCTCCCTATCTGCAAAGACTTTGCTTCCATTTTTTCCATTTTCTCATATTAATTCCATTCGCTTCTTTCTTTTCCCCTACCCCTCCCACTTCCCCTTCCTTTTTGTCCCTTTTCTCCCCATTTCACATTATCTGTGATACCTTTTGGTCCCTTTTTACACATTCAGTTTCTCACAGTAGAGAAACTATTCGGCATCTGCACATGTGTGTTGCATTTATATCACTTAAGAGTATCTGAAGACATTTTAAACATGAAGGAACAGAAGAAAGTGAAGGGCAAGGGGCCTAGGAACACAGCTGTGTGAGGAAGCTCCCCAGCTTACGAACAGGTGAGCAACAAGCAGAGCTTGGATCTAAGGCTTCTCCCACCACCCCTGTCCTGGCAGGTGTGCTGTAGTAAATGATTCTTATTTTATCTATTCTTTAGTTAGAACTCAAAAAATAAACACTTTGAAGAAACAGTGTAGATGGCCAGTGCTAGAGTGTAAAAGTCTCACTGATCCTGTAATCCCAGCACTTGGGAGGCTGAGGCAGGAGGATTGCTGGGAGTTCGAGACCAGCCTGGGCTACACATTGAGTTCTAGGTCATTCTCAACTACATAGTGAGACTCTGTCTCAAATAACCAAAAAATAAAAAAAAAATAAATAAATAAAAGTCTCACTGAATAACCTCTCCTTCTGAAGGGAAAATGTGGGCACAGACGCTAAAGCAATAGTCCAGACTCCGCAGACCTCGGCACCCTGCTGCTGGGCAGAGACCGCAGCTGGAGGACTCTGGCTGATGCTGAGCATCAGAAGGGACACTCATATTCTGCTCATAAGCACGATGTGGAGATACAGTCCCTCTGCTTGGGGGGCTACTATGAGCCACTACTTCTGAAGTGTTCCGCAGTGGTGAGAACACAGAAAACAGCACGGCCTGTCTATACCATGAAAAGTGCTCTACTGTCCCTCTGCCACTTGATCTTCACACGATCCTGTGAAATGCGTTCTATTATCAGCTCCCCAAAGCACAATAATTAATTACATTAGTATTGAACTTTATCACAGGTGGCTTTTCCCCACACTCATTCCACTTGATCCTGATAGCAGGAGCCGGGGCTCAGAGAGGGCAGTGACTGGCCGCACAGACAGTGACAGAGTTAGAACTGGAAGCCACATCTCCAAGTCTGGTGTGTTGTTTCCCAGGTAAGATGTGAGTATGACATCTGGTTGCATGTTTTTTCTTAATTTTTTTTTTTTTTTTAATTTTAAGACAGGGTCTTGCTAAATTGCCCAGGCTGGCCTCAAACTTGTGATCCTCCTGCCTCAGCTTCTCAAGTAGCTGGGATTACAGGCATGTGCCACCACACCCAGCTTCTCTTGAGATTTGTCATTGACTGAATCTCAGATTTTAATCAAAATGTGTTAAAAATTAATGAATTAATATATTCTGCAGTTAAATTTTGGGCATTTGGCTCAAATAAATACGTTATATAGAGCTGTGTATTCAAAAATAACATAAGTAGCTAAATACAGAATCTGCCAAAAAAAGGTATACACACGCAGTTTGCCGTACTAATAAATGCCTGGAAGCTAATGGCCACCATTTGTCATTGTAGAGGTCAAAAGTATTGCATTAGTCTCATGATGTCTCAATGAATTTAGTATTAAAATATGTATATGTTTTTTGATGTATACTTTTTTTGGCAGACTGCATATTTATCATTAAAAATCAAACAGAAAAGGAATTCACAATGCAAACCTTATGAAAACCAGTGTGTCATGTGACCCAAAAGACTATTTTAAGGAGGAATGAGTGGTTCAGACAGTAGGAAGTGGGGAGACAGGTCTTCCTCAAAGGGGAAGGGGATTAAGAAATGGAGGGGAGGGAGAGGAGGGAAAAGGGATGAAGATGGGGATCAAGATGCGTTATTCCCATGTACCGACTCCCCACGAGGCCTGCAAACACTGGATACTGCAGGCGGGACTGATTGTAAAAAGGAGAGTTTAGACAGCGGCTGTTGTCATCACCGCCATTGTTACTTTTCCACCCCTCTAGCCTGCTGCCCCTCAGTGCTTTCTCCCCAGAGTAACAGCACTCTTGCAGATCTCTCTGGTACTAGAGAGCAACCCTTGGAGCCTGGGTGGTGCTCAATCCACCACGTCTGGCGGGACAGTGGGGACCACAGAGCCCAGCAGCCGGCGTTATGAGGATTCTGATGGTGCTGAGAGCTCCAACCCTCTTTAATCCTAGCAGGGCACAGAAGTAAGTCACTGTCATGACTTACATTGTCATGACTGTATCGGGTCAGATATAATCCTTGTAAGAGTCCCTGTCCATTAGAGAATGGAGGTCACTCCAGGGGGCCAGCTAGAACCCTAAGAGGGAGAAGAGAGGCCCCGCACTGGTCCTGACCTCGTCCCATCACCCCAGGCTCAGGCCCATCTCTGCCAAGCACAGAATACGGGGCTCCTTGATTCTTGGGCAAAACAATACCACCATTTACCTATAAGACTGATGGATTTAGAGATACGTACAACTTCCAACAGCTAAAAGGCAAAATAAATGCAATTAAGCACACAATTAAAGCAGTATGTCTCAAAAGAAGAAAACAACCAGGAAAAAAGAAAGAAAGTAAAAAAAAAAAAAAACCCTCATTGAAGTAGTAACACAGCTTTAAAAAGTTGTGTTACGATCAGCATCTAAGCAGATAGTAAGTGAAATTCTCTTGCCACTGGTTGCTAATCTCCCCTCATTTAGACAGTTCTGAAACAATTTGGGGCCATCACTGCTGACAGCTGAGCCCGAAGCAGGACAGAGGCATCCTTGGAGGGTAATTTGGGGCACAGATTCTTTTCTGCCCCCGGCCCTGGGGAGTCTGGCAGGGGGATTTGGAGGAATGATCTGTGCCCTGCAGGATCACTCTCGAGGCTCATAAACCCTTTGTGTCTGCTGTGAACAGAGTGAGAGCACAGATTCCGCTCTCTCAGCAGCAGCTCAGGGTAAAGAGGCTCCCTGGGGGAAGGTGGGGACCCATGTCAGTCACCTGGGCATCCCCAGTTGTTCTGGTGTGGTGATTAATGGTGCCCACTTTCCGTCCCAGCACGGCCTGGTACTAGTGCTAAGTTACGTGGTCACTTTCTTCGTGAGGATCAAGAGGCTTCACCTCCCCGTAGCCCTTACCTCACCGTGAGCTGCAAGGTCCCTCCGAGCGGCTTTAAGAGGAACCTCTGAGTTGTACCTCTTCTCTCAGCTTCGCTGTACGGAGCAGTGCATGCAGA